ATATAACCATATACAATATCAGCCAATAATGTCGCAATTATTACCTGTAGTATGTCATCCCTATGAAGAATTGGTCAGATGTTTCAAGAAAGATGGTCCAGGAGGTGAGAGCCAACAGATTTTTTTTTCAAATATGCAAATAATATGGCATAGTCTGCTGACGCCTTTTTTCGTCCTTTTTGGCCATCCTCAGTGGCTTTTAGCAGAGGGTATTAGCAGTTTAACATATCTGAGTCTCCACTTTGTTTATGTGTGTTTATTAATGACATCTACAATAATGTCAGTTTTTTGAAAAGTCAACAAATTACTGATACATATTTAATTTGTCATCACTTTTTGTGCTCAAACGTTATTGTTTTTTATCTAGATCCCGAATGCGGATATGATTTTATTATCATTATTATAAGAAACATCTTTAGTAATAAGTTATGGGAGAACTTCTTACAACACGAGTACATCAAAGAACAGTATTTACAATTTCAAATGCGCTACTACTATAGATGGCCAATAGCCATATTCTGAAAACTGAGTTCTCCTAGTCATTGTTCGATTGTGCTCTAAATGTGAGTGTCATCTTACACACGACTTCCACTTGCGGGATTTGTGTGGGTTTCCTAAGGAAAATAAAAAAATCACATGTTAGCCATGATTGAAAAAAACGAGACAAGCATTTTTTAAAAGCATCATCAGGTTGGGGATCACCACGCTCTAGTTTTATTTAAGTTTTCTTGGCTTTTCAAAATACATTAATATAATTATCTCCTCATAACGAATGTAACAGTTACACAGAAACGCAATATCATTAAAGTTGTTCAATTTAAATGCCTTAATCGATTAATGACTTTTTTTTTAGGTGTACCATATTCAAATTTTCCTGGGTTTAACAAGTGGATGGATGATCTGACTTGCTCCAGATTTTTACAACTACTAAAGTTTCTCATTGAAACAGAAAAAGTGAAAAGTTGATTGGGTGAGTAGGCCTTATCCTGTTTACTCCCAGCTAAGAATGAATTATTATTTTTTAGTTTATTTATTGAACGTTTGACTGCTATATTTGTCCAAGGCTGTCACTGATTAATATTTATGACATTTGATTTGATTCGTTGTTATTTCCTTTAATATATATTATATTATAATATATAACGCCAGGACTATACCAACAATTCATCCACTTTTTTGGCTATGGTACCTGTTGTAATTCACTCTTTCATCAATAGGCTCCACTTACAAGTGATGTTGGGAGTGGTTCCATAATGTCACAGGTCAATAACTGGAATTCTTATTGTGCTAAATAAGATTAAAACAAATATTCTGAAAAACAACATTACATGCAAAATCGCTCATGAAACTGGTAATGATCCCAATTAGTACGATTCCTGCAAATACCAACATGTCTGGTTTCATATAGAATGTGTGCCAAATATGAAGTACATACCACTCGTCATCTCAATCTTTTAACAACAGATCCCGTTGCAAGTACATTACAGATTTGTACTCAACTGAAGAGTTTCCCAGATTGTTCAAACGTCATAGAAAGTGTTTGTCTTCTAAACTTTCAAATACATCTCTTATCTTTACTTATAATGTGTGTGTGCATTTTATTCAGAATCTGGAGCTAAAGTAATCGATATTGGATGTGGAAGAGGCACAATATTAAACAGACTGGGACTTCAATTCCCATTGAGCGAGTTCCATGGGGTGGAATTCTCCTCACATGCCGTTAAAAGCGCGCGTGAAGGTGCGAAAAATATGGATGCAAAGAATGTAGTATTTTATGAATACGATGCTGCTCAACTACCTACTGATTGGTCCAATTCGTTCGATTACGCAATCGCAATGAATGCCATTCATGACCAGGCGCATCCATACGTCGTGTTGAATGAGATATATCGCATTCTAAAACCGGAAGGTTACTTTTCCATGGTGGATGTGTTGGCGTCATCTAAACTTGCTGACGAAATCTCGAATCCTGTATCACCCATGTTCTATGGATGTAGCCTAATGCATTGCATGACTGTTTCGTTGCATTTCAAGAATGGTGCTGGTTTGGGGGCAATGTGGGGCAAGCAAACGGCTATGAAGATGTTGAAATCAACTGGTTTTGCATGCATGTTCATAGATAAAGATCCACTAGACCCTTTTTCCTGTCACTATTTCAGTGAAAAATAAATAAAACCATAAATGTCAAGGAACTGTGGTTTACTACGCTTAGTATTAGGCGCAATATTTCTTCTCAGTTGATCTGTAATTCATTATGCTATGTTATTGACCGTTATAGATGTTGTTATTCCAATCAAATAAAACAATGCGCAATACTACCTCTACCTCTACGTATTGTGTTTTAATTGTTTATGTATACACTCACTTCCTATCCACCACCTTATCTTATTCTTTTAACCAGTCGAGCATATTATCTGAATGCAATTACATCATCTAGGCATGTGATTCATAATAAGTGTTTTATTGCACATACAATTAAACATTAAAGCTCTGGCATGAAAATCGCTTTTCCATATGTGAATAATATTTTATGAGATGGGATTCATTTCTGTATGGACCTATCTGGCTGCAGTTGATACTATCATGATTTATATTTCAGTCAGTTTGACAGTGGTTGCCATGACATATACTGATAAAGGTTAATGACAAGACCAGATGGCGAGCTGGTCGAAATCAACCAAAAACATCTTATGACTCTGCAGTTTTTAAGATACAAGACAGTAGCTGTAATTCTAAACCAATGTTGTTTGCGAGTTTAAATAAGGTAGTATCTTTGTGGAATGTTAGTGCGAGATTATTACCCCATCAATATTAGTTAGCGTTGACAATGTATAGAAATGTTTTCTCTAGACAGCTTGACGAGTAATTAATTGATTATGATGTGTAACACTTTCATGTGATTGGTTGTTTGTTGGAAGGCAAGGCCTTGGAGTCTCTTATACTGATTGTAATTGGTTAAGGGGTGA